ATAATAATAATAACAATAATAACATTACCTTTTTCAAATTGTTTCTTCTCATTATACATTTATTTAATGTATTCGGTACACAGTCGTGTGACTAAGTAAGATCAGTTTAGTTAAGCGCACAGCCGAGATGAACAACTTAAAATTTCAATCTATTTTTTAACGTGACTATTCAAAAAACAATACGAATGAATGAATGACCGAAGAAGAAAATTCGATCATTATTTGGTATTACCGTTATTTTAAATAATTATCAGTACTGTCATATTTCCAGTGGTGTGGTGAACCTTTATAAACCAAGATGCACAGCATAATATGTTTCAGTACCTATTCACTCTTTATCCCCTTAATATAGTATAATTATTATATGGCTGTAAATAGTTTTCTATTTTTTCTATTGGTTATCATAATGTATCCAACCATCCCAACCCCAAAAAAATTTCCACCGTGGCATCTAGGAACCATGAAACTCAATTTACCGCGCCACTGCATATTTCTATGGCTTACTATTAAGTATTAACCAATCAAATAAAATAATATAATATAATTGTGTTTTATATACTCATCGATTGTTATTATTTTTTAAATTTTCGTTTTTTTGTAATATTAACATTGAAGGTACCTACCTTAGATAATTGTAGTTCGTAGTGTTCATACAATGAGCAAATAATCAAAAATATAGATGAACACAATTTTATTAATAGACATTTTAAGTTCAAATTTGGACAAAATTAGATAGGTATTTAAACGAAGAATACCGATTTCGGTTATTTTTTTATAGTTTAAAAATATTATTTGTGGTCTTGAGGGTACTTTTAACTTATTAGTTCTTTATAGTTTAAGTTAATTTTAAAATCTAGTTTTATTAATAAAATGAAAGTCCATTTCAAAAAAGTTGTACTGCAGGTATTTTTGAATTTTTTTGTTTTCATCATCATACCATCTACCAACATCAAGTCATGTACCTATTTAATTACCTATCTGGTTATTGTTTTGTTGACTGTGGTCAGTAACTTTTGCTTAGGCATTGATAAATATAGATTCACTAACGCCCAACATCTGATATCTTCATCAAATGAATGGTATGTATATCATAGCCCATAGGTACTATTTAGAGTTCATAAAAATATTGGATTGAGGTTTAGGTACACTAGCTGTGGGTATACGTCAATTTGTCTTCAGTTGTTTGTTTATCCATAAACGTATCAATTGTAATCGTAAACAACAATACGAATTGTAACCTTAACGTTGCGTATTATATATTATTATTTATTATGACCATGCGCGATACACCAATTCGTTCCTTAATATTTTTAATATAGGAAGTTTATTAACGATTATTTTGGGTAGGTGCCTGTCTCATAAATCTCAAGGATAAACTTTCTAAAAGTGTCTATTCATATACTCCAGTCTCCGTCTCCAATAGTCCAATGCATTTAAATAGTTCTGTTTGTTTCAAGGACAGCTGAGTGTCTTAGAACGGCCTAAAATTTTTACACATATTTATGCGATACAAAAATATTTAACTCTACCCAAGGTTATAGGGTTCTCTACCCAATTTCTTAAGAATCATAAGTAATACGACAGTTATTGGACGTACAGTCGAAAAAATCCTATATATCCTATATATATATTTTTTTTTTTTTGAAAAGCATTTACCATACAATTTTAAACAAAGTTACAATAAATATGATCTACCCCACCTCTAAGCTATGCTTGTAGAGTTGTTGAGAATTACAATTATATATAAATAATAATTATGTATATATAATTATTTTTATATTATATATAGGGACGTCGTACATGCATTAAATGACCTATGTGATCGTTTTTTAGATTAGTAGTCATTTATTTACCTAGATATGTGCTGGTGTGTGTGCATGTGTAGGTTTCACAATAACACGATATTTTTTTGTTTTTAATACATCATTGTTGTATAGGTTTTGGGTAGGAATTCTACAAGCCTCCAAGAGCTCTTTACGGTTCAGTATAGATTGGAGATTCGACACAGATTATTTTAAGAGCCAAGAGGACACGTTTAAAATGCTCAGCAAATTACAAAGAAATACAGGTATAGATATTTGAAACTTTTGTCTATTAACATGTTTATACTTTTTACTTAGCCCGTAAAATATGTTATGCTTATTCGCCAAAATCAAACATTTCAGAATATTTGAAACTTTGAACCCATAGAGTTAATCTTGTACGAGTTGTACGATGTTATGGATGAACATCATCTGTGTCATATAATATTTCGACACACGTAAGCAGTTGGGAAACTTCCTCTCTCCTGTTTTGTGACTTTTATAATATATTATTAATATATATAAATCATATGCAGTTGTTTTTAAGTTTTAATAATATAAAAACACTTTTAAGTATAATATCACTTTCGGGCAAAGATTCGCTAGTGGGTGACTTCTTGTTCACGTTATTTATGTATTCCCTCTTCACATATTATACTTATAATTATGCTAAGCAGTATATATTGTATTTATCTAATAAAAAAGTACCATAAAAAAGTATTATATCATCTATTTTATAATATTATTATTAAGTACCTACCTATGTTTTGCACGTATTTAATATAATATATTATATTATACATTATGAACATCGTCAACCTTTTATATGTGCATTCTAATTTATATATTATGTTTTGTGCAGTTATAAACTATGATATGGGCATTATACGTGTATAACTGTATGCCCTGACTCACTGTGCGCCTGTGTGTACCATATTATAAATATTTAATTGATTCTCGTATGGTTATTAATTTTAATAGGCACATGTTATTATGTTTCGTTGATTATATTTTGTTATCTTTCGACTAGGAGTTTAAAACTAGTTATCCTAAAACCTCTGTAGCTTTGCTGTGTGTATAGTTGTTTGTGCAGTGTTTTAGTAGGTAGGTCGTAGGTCCTAGTGGTCATAATACTCACAGTGTTGTGTTTCATGTGCATTGTGTATAGTTAGTTGCGTATGATATAACTATGTTAAAAGAAAAATGTTTAAGAACCGTCGAAAGTTATAACAATATAAACCGCCTAGAAACTGGTGACAATCAATCGGAAGTTGCTGATTATAATGCATTAAGGTTAAGTAAATATACAGTTGTAGGTATCGGTCATATACCGAGATCGCAAACATGAAGTTTTACATTTTAAATTTTAATTTTCGAAGTTCTTAGCAGTAGTTCTCGAGAAACACGACAAAAAATCGGCAAAGAAAATCATGTCGCGAGTATCAGTGACTTCTTTCAACATTTTGACCATTTTTGGGTAATATAACAACTATGTTGTATTGATTTTCAAATGCAATGCGTGATTATACTATCGCTTGTCGGGCGCTTTTAAATTTAAAGACGCTCGCCAGTCGCAATACTGCTGTAGTGACCCATCTGTGTATATCTCAGTGTTTTCTTTTATTATTATTATTATTTATGAGTCAATGTATTTATCACATTTATACATAAATGATAAAAATGTAATTACTATTACTGTATCATAATGGTATTTATCGGATTACATAACTCTAAACGATTATTGACATGACGTATAGTATAGTATTGTAGAATATTGCCTATTGTTACATATTAGCTGGTTATATTTAATATGCTCCAAAACATAAGTCTATTATTTTTTTAAATCCTCAGATTTGTATTAGAATTCGGGACCTGATGATCATTTGAAAAGCGCTGATAAGTGATGGTAAAGATTATTCGTTAATACGTAAAAATGGTAAGTAATGTGAAATATGTTATATACTAACTATAAGTTTATAACTAACTATAAATAATAATCAAAAAATAATTGATACATTTTATACTTGAACCCGTTGAATGATTGCAGATATTATAATTTTTTAATAATATACATGCACGCTAATAATGTTGAGATATTATACCTATTTTGATTGTGTCATAAAGAAAATATGATTTAATTTACAGATATTTGTTCCTTTAGTAAAATAGTGAATTAAAATCTTTAATTTATTATTCTAAACTAAGGGTTAATTTATAAAGACAACCAAACCCTCCCCCACATTTCGCTCATACAAGTACAGTTTTGCACTCACATGTAATATGTATCTATAAATTGATTTCTTTTTTACTTACATTAAAAACAATTGATATTTGTATGATATAAATCAAAATATTCACTTGAGGTTACGTATGTATATACTATTTGTATGTAAGTATGTTACAACATTGAATAAAATAATATTATTGATCGGTATTATTATTTCGTTTCTTCGATTTAAGACTTATCTGAAACATAAATGAGCTTAAGTCCGCGGACTTGGTTAACCAGCCATGCATCGTTATATTCATATTATGTTGTCGTCTCCTGCAATGTCCTGTATTAAGACGAGCGATATTTCCTACTACCTCCCTTCCTCGTGTTTATAACAGAACTATCTTAAGGAGGACGTGGTAAAAGGGTTACGTCATTATTCCGAGCTATACCTACCATCAACAATTGGTTATCCCGTCACATGTACCACAGTATACGTATTCTAGTCTTGTAAGACACACGTGTTATCCGAACGATCTTTCTTACTTGTTTCACTCTTTAATGGTACGTAAGTAATGATTTTAAATAACTTATTTTAAGATGTCGAAATTGTAGTCTAATTATATATATAGTGTAGGCTGTTTTTCATGTTAAAATAATTAATATCGATGATGGTAATTTAATATTGTACTGTTTATAAAAAGTTTTACAATAATTTTGACGTCTTCTTTTAGTCAAGTAAATATAATGTTCTTTTTATTGTTTTTACTTTGAATAAATTGAATTCGTTTTTGGTATTTGTAAAGTCTATAAATATTTTATAAAAAATGTTTTTTGTAGTTTTATAGTAATTGAATATTTATTTAACCAGTTTAATTAGCACAAAAAATGTATTTTAATAAATCAACAGACGATTTATCTTAAAACATAAAAGTATAAAACAATAATGATAATCGTATAAAATCATAAATGGTGAGTATTTGTACACAATAGGACTTTATAGGTACTGACGTACTGTATATATAATTTATATTATGCTTGTAATATTAACTAGACGTAATTATACTTCGGTTCCAACCACACTTGGATCTCACACACATTTTCTAAATCGTCGAGTCCTCCAAAACTTAAGCGAATACCCATATGTTGAACGATTACTGTCGTCTATCAACTCATAATGAAAACACTTTGTTCACATTCATCTCATGTATAGTATAGGTAACAAAAAAGCATTGTCAAAATATCATAAAACAGAAACGTCGCGTCGGTAGATTAAATAAAATAAATCTTGAGCGTTTTTCAAATCGATCGAGTATTCTTACATATTTCCATCGTTTGCATAAATTCTGCAAAAGGACTGCGTTTAACTTTAATGATTAAAATACGCGATATTTTTCTACAAACAAGCGTCGAATAAAACTCGAATGTGATATAATTATACATAATAGTGCTGTAACAGCGTTTAAAATGTTTAATTATATGTATATGTACTATAATAACAATTAAATAATATCGTGTATTAAAATCATAGTCGGATACCGGAAATTCTCATCAAAAGTCGGAACCGCCTTGTGTTCAATAACCCGATCGGGTTTGTTAATATTAGGTCACTTGCTCTCTGGATATTTTGTACACAATTATGTAACAGACGTGGTTGTTATGAGCACCCAACTGGTTTCTTACGCGCTGACCACTTTCACTCAGAAATCATTCCGTATACCAGGATATATAATAATAATATAAAAAATACCATCGCGTGTGTGTATACATACTCATAATATTAAAACAAGATACCTATAAAATACTAGTTTTTTCCTTCAGTTATGTCTCATTTTATTTTATTTCTGTACCTATATAATCTTATGTATATACCTATACAATTTTTCGTGGTTTTAGTCCAACAGTGCATTGACATTCATCGACGCGTTTGATGTAATATCGAAACTAATAAAATATGTATGTGCAATATTATTATTATTATTCAATAACGATTTGTGCTTATATTATAATAATAAATATAATATAAAAATATTTTTCTGAAGTACTTACTATATTTTAGACGAACAAATTGTTGTTGGAATTATAATGATACACGACAAATGTAATGATACTAAACAAAAAAAATGATCTATAGTAGGTATTAAAACCAATCTATAAAAATATTACAAGTCTTATTTAAGTATAATATAAGAGTAGTTATTTTGGTATGTACTTGTATTTTGATTCATCCACTATAATATGAAGCAAGTGGACTAAGAATGAAATATTCAAACTTCTAAGTTCTACTGCGCGGTTTCGTGAAGTCGTCCGTGTATGATGGTAGGTACTTTATGAAAGGTTCTATTAAATAGTTCAACTTGTATTAAATTATTCGTTCCGAATGTAAATTAAATATCGATGGGTATTGGGTTGCATCGTGTGTGCAAATTAAATGGAAACACTATAATTGAAAACATATTAAAGATTCGTGTACGGTATAAAGTTTATCATTGTCAATTGACAATTAATTTGTCAACTCGAAGAAGGTGAAAACATTAAACAATAAAATAGAATTTTATATAGCAATGGATTTAGATTCCTTTCGTTTAAGTCCTCGAAACGTATTTAAAGAACTCCAATACAGAACGAAAATATATTATAGATAATACTTATGTGAAATACAAAACGAAATAACAATAATAATAATAATATTTTTTATATTCGAACTGACTTCGAGTTCGATTAACAAAATATGTATACAATGCTTTGTGACGTCATACACGTATTGTACATGTGACATGCATAAATATTACAAATATCAGTGTAAAAATCGACAACCTATCTAACACATACATTTTTCGTTCGATAAAATCATAAAACTGCGAGTTTTGTTCTCGTTCAATCGTGAAACGTAATAATCAATAAATCGAAGTATATTATAGGTACAAAACTAGAAACATTCATAAATTAGTTTTAAAATATTTTTTTAGTTTAATAGATCTATTCTGGCTGCGGAGGAGATTTTTGGAATGATGAATATTATTGTTAAGATACGTGTTCAATCACGTTTTTAGTTTTTGTATAAATTAATATTTTTTATAAGGATTTAAGAAACAAAAAAATATTGGAATCCGGGCCAATAGTTAATATTTTTAATTCATATGATTTTTGTATTAAAAATATATACTGCACATTAAATATATTTACTAATCAATGATAATATTCAAATTAAATGATCTTTTATCATACATTCAGTTACACATTATGCATTTAGTTATTTTTATTATTATAATATTTGCTTATGTTTCTACTATCTACCGTTAAAAAAATAAATCATAAATCATTACCATAATATTATAATAATTAAAATATCGAATGGATATTATCGTTTAGGCATCGAATGTCAAATTTGATATAGGTACTCGGGAAAATACGTCCCTATCAAACTCGTAACGTGGATGGGAAGACGGTGTCAAATATTTAATGCAACTGGCAATTTAGGGTCCAGTCCTTT